ATCATGTTTTCACGAGACACGGTGGGGGGGGGGGGTCACGTATTCAAGGACGCAGCACCTACAGCTGGAACCAGGTTTTGAAAAGGGGTCAGATTGTGCAGTGCTCAGCAGCTCCTGGTGCAAAGCATCTAGGCAGGCTTTCTACACAGATTAGCATCAGCATGCACCTAAAGGTTTGAACTCTTGCAAATTTGACCGCTTGGTTTGGTGCCTGAACAGGAGCAGAGCTTTTCTGAAAGTTAAGTTTCAGCTGGGAACACTGGACTCTTTTAGAGACCCTGGAGGGCACAGGGAAAGCTGGTCCCTGCATCACCTGCAATCAGATACCTGCCCCAGCAATAGACTCGAAGGCAGATACAGGTAAGTCTGCTAAGCTCAGTTCCGGGCAGAGCATTTTTAAATGCCGGATTTCTTTCACACCAGCCTCTCTCATTGCAAATATTAGCAGACTCCTAAAGCAATTCAAGGAAGCAGTAGGGTAACAAATGGGAGAGGGGGGCAAGGTGACCAGCGCAGTAACTCCAGGTGCAGGGTTAAGGGGGGCAAGGAGGGAAGACAAAATAGCAGCTGCTGGCCAGCTGTGCCACTGCTAGCACCTAGGAGCCATCTCTGCCCAGAGTATAAAACTGCTTTGCTACCCCCTCTACAAGGGAGTGTCATACCTGAGTTTGGGAAAGAATGATGATGCCCAACAAGTAGCGGAGGAAATTGTAGAGGAAGAAAGGCTAGCTCCGATTTAATTTAACATTTGATTTATGATGTTTTAATTAACCAGCTTCCGAGAGCACGCGACTCATGGCTCTACAGGCAGCTTTTGAAAACCCCAACAAGAACGGGCAGTGGGCGATTCTGGCGCTAGATTGATGAAGGCCGTCTTACACTGGTTATTGCTCTTCGCCTTTCAAGGGGTCATGCCCGTCTCCTGCAGGGCCAGAAAACATTACCGTGAAGAACTCCCTTAGCTCAACCTGCTGTTGCCTTTTCCGATTGCTGCTAATGCTCCTGCTGTACTCGAGCTGCTTAGCTATAAACAAACCTGAACGAAGGTTTCTAGTATTACAAACAAATTATTGTGGGAGGAAATTAAAGACTCAATGGTATTTAGTGTTGCAAATTAAATAAAATTTCCTCAAGCCTAACAAACAGAATCGGTGCCAATGAGAAGCTTTTCAGCACAACACAGTAACGCTGAGTCTGAACTTCCCCAGAACGGTAGCTAGCCCACCTGGGGTCAGGTTCCTGCTCTCCAAGGTATGGGTTAGGTGGACCTTTTTCTCACCCCCAGCAATCACTGGTCTCAGGGCACGGATCACTTCCTGCCCCTGGGGCAAGGGCTGGACTTGATCTTCCAAGGTCCCTTTCAGCCCTAATGTCTATAAAATCTAATGGGAGCCTGAAAGTACAGGCAACGTTATTGTTTTGCCAAGGTCAAGGTAGGCAGGCCATGTCCACTCTTTTCAGGAGCATAGAGGGATGAAAGTCTCCTAGGCAAGAGTCAGGAGGAACCTCAAGAATGGCGAGAAGGGAATTTGGGGGGGGGGGGGGGGTGGGGGGGGGGGGGGGGACGACAAAAATCTGTGTATTCAGTCTTATCCTCCCTCTGTTACTGTAAGGACTGCAGGAAAGGGGAAGCGAGGCAAAGTCCATTGCATGCAGCCTGCATTAAACAGGGACTGGGGCTAAAACAACACAAGCGACTCCAGACCCACTCTGCTCGAAGGCGGCTGGATTTCTGCTGCATTAAATTAAATCGGTGAGCAGCCGAGTCTCTCCAGGAGCTCCAGAAGTCATCACTCACATGTTCCAACAGCTCTAGTGGTAAACACCTGTCTCGCATCAGGGAATATTTCTAGGAGACGCCAGTTCCTAAATCCCTCCTTGTTAAAATTTACTGCATGAGAGATTTGCCACTGCATAATAAAGAAGACTTGTTGTAGGAACAGTTTGTCAGCTTTTAACTTTACTACTCTTAGTGTCTCGGACTCCCAAGCCTGTCATCTCATATAATGGAGCTGTTTAATGAGATGTCAGACGCAAGCAGCCCATTTCTCTGCCAAGGTTATCGTCAGGGTTCCAGGAATCCACCAGCCTGCCCTTCCTGACTTGCTTTAAACATTTATCAGGTTTCCCCTCCACAACAACTCCTTCCTTGCAGCTATGGTTTTGCTTCTCAAGTTTTAAAAGGAGAAGGGGGACTGGGGATACCTTAAGATGAGCACACCTGTTGCCGAAGACAGCCAAGAGGACACGAAACACAGGAGGTCTGAATGGGTGTTTATTTTCCCCCCCCTCCCTGCATCCAAGCTAGAGTTTGGCTGCCTTCCTTAATAGATTTAATCAAGGTTTCTCATTCATCTGCTGCCAATTTAGTTTAAATGAAGGTGAAAGAGTTCAGGAAATCTGCCTGTGAAGATTTCCTTAGGTCCATGATGTATTTTAAGGGTCCTGTGCTTGTGAATATTATTTGTTTTACTGCAGTGTTTAAAGGCTCCATCATACATACAGATAAGAGAGAAGTCCTGTTTCTCAGAGCTTGAAGTATATATATAGTCAATACAGACAAACAAGATGGGGGGGAATAATCCTGAGACAAAGCACCTTATCTCTTAGTGCCTACTGCATGGCTTGGGTTTTTCAGAGCCACTTCACACATTTGAGTGCTACTAGCAGGAATAGTCACTAAAAGCAAAGTGCTCAAGATACTCACTAAAACCAAATCATGTCAGATCATCAATTCTGCCGAAACAGGATCTGCAATTATTTGCCTCGGCTACCCAATCAGGGAAATGAGAGCAAGACCACTGCAGTCATACATCCTGACCCCCCTGACAGACAGGCTGGGTGACCAGCTGACGCAGCACCGGTTTTGAAGGACAAGCAATATATTCTTGCGTCCTTGTTCAGGATTCAGTCACAGACTGCGAAGTTTGGCCCTGATTAAGAGCTGGCATGGGATTGAAGTGACAGGCAGGCCTTGCAGAGGCTCTGGGTGTACAGATGCATTCACCCAAAGAGGAAAGATTCCAAAAATTGTACCAATTCAGACAAATGAGACAAAAGCACCCATCTTCTATGCCTCTGTTTTGGCCCCGTGCTATGAATGTGCATTAGCCCAAAGACAGCCCCACCAAGAGTACATGGATTGCACAAAGCACTCAGTACAGGCTGCATCTACGGATGCCATTTCTCAGGTTATGGAGCAATTGTGAAAGCACTCAGTACGGGCTGCTCCATTTACATGCTTGCCAGCCCAAGAAGCAATGGCTGCAGCACACTGATGGTAGCTAGTACAAATCCCCCTCCTCTGACTCAACACAAAAAGCACCCCTCTTCTATGCCTCTGCTTTGGCTCCATGCTACGAATGTGCATTAGCCCAAAGGCAGCCCCACCAAGAGTACATTGATTCAAAACCCACTGGCCTTCAAAAGGATGCTTCTTGTAACAAACTTATATAACCTTGAGAGACTGTTTTGAGCTAATATTACTTCCCGAGACTAGAGGACACAGGGTTTCTTGGACTCTGAAGTGCTGCTAACAGCGCTTCCATGTTAACAGTGCAAATGACCTTGGTGTGGTGCTAAACCACCTCAGCTCATGCAGAAAGAGGCAGCAGAAGGCAAGCCAGACTCAAAAATCCTTGCTCCGAAGCATTTCCAATTTAGCACGTGATGCAGGACCCAATCACACCACCCCAGGCCATTTCCAAACAGCAGTAAAGTGTTGGAACAGGGCTGTCTGACTGGCAACCCACAGACTCCCGTCTAGCTGCCGCCCTTCCTCACTGGCCCCCAAAGTTGCTCCTGCCCCAGTGGCCAGGAAAGGGCTGGAGTGCCCGAGCAACACAGAGAAGAGAATGGAGCTGGGCTATGCACGCTGCAGATGGGTGGTGTGCGCAGCCAGGAGGGGGAAAGGGGGACAGTGGCAGGGAGCCAGCCTGGCTGCCTGGCTCAGGGTTGGGGGCACTGCCTGTGCTGTGCATGCAGCAGTGGGAACAGTGCTAGGCAGACCGTTGTGGGAGAGAACCAGGGGGGCAACCACCCACCCATGTAGCACATTGGCCCAGGCCTGTGAAGCATGCGGCCCTGGTGGCTACCCAGAAGCTGGACAGTCCTGCTTTAGGAAAACATAAAAAAAAAAATTCTTTTTCTACTAACCCAATACAGCAATAAGCATTTATTTGACTAGGGACAGGCTCAAGGCACTGAATTCAAGTCCACATTTAGATCCCAAACCAAGCCCGACTGTCAACTGAAGGTATTTGCTCCTGGGTCTTGCTTCCAACCTTGGTCATCCCAAACTTCCACCGAAGTAATGCCCCTTGTATTCCAACTGCATCACACCCAATGCAAGGCTCAGGATCAAGTCCATCGTCCTTCCCCAAACAGACACACATTTGATTAAGCCAGTCTCACTTAGGGGCTCCATCAGAAACTCATTTCTATAAGCATTTCCTGTAACATCTTGCATATAACTGATGCACTAATCTGGCAAAAGAATCTGCCCCACTTCCTCCATTTTCACATAATCCAGCAAATTAGTTCACCAGCCCATGTCAACCAGCTCCTTCCCTCCAGAGCATTTGAGTCTCTTTTCCAAGAGATGCATGTATGGCTCATTACCAGAAAAGAAAAACTTGATGATGAGCCTGGCCTTACAATGCTCCTTGGGTCTCTCCCTCAAGCCTGCAGCTACCCATGTCATCAACCATTTCACCCATTTACTGCAGCTAACCCTCTTTCTGCAGCTAGTCTGGCATCTCCTAGGAGCTTCTCTCGCAGTATTCACTCTCAGGTAAGGTGCATGCTTGGTTTCATAAGCACCAGATAATTTTCCTAGCGATCACCTGGTCCCTGTCCTGACAGCACCTCCTGGAAAGCCACCAAATCAGTCACAGGTAGGGTTAACCCCTGGCAGCTAGCCCAGCAAAAGCAATAAAGGGGAACAGACAGACTAACTCAAAACACTGGGTATAGTTTGCTAAATCCCTACACTTTACTTACTCATTCGCACACGTGCAAAGTTCGGTGCCACTTCCAGCAGCAGCATTCATCTTTTGGGGACCCTGGGACAAAGGTCTAATTTCAGGCCCCTACATTTTGCCATTTCTTATAGTACCATGAATCCCCAAAGTAATGCAGTGTAATAGGGGCCTCACCTGCTTAAGCCCCTTGCAGTAAGACAATTCTTTGTAAACTACAGAATAACGTTAGGACAGTGCAAAAGAGGTCCCCAAGCTACAGACTAGTGACAAAGAGCAATCTTCTTAACCCCGCAAGTTCAAAACTCCCCAGACTCACCTTCAATTACTAAAAAGAAAAAAAAAAAAGTACACAGTAGCTCTGTTCTGGTTTTCAATATTTGAACTCCCTTTGCCCAGTCCCAGGCTGCCAAATCTCCCCCCAAAATAGGGTATGCATAATTTTGACTTCTGCAGAGAAAGAATCAGAGAAAAAAAATTCTCCTAATGGCACAAAGCTTCCATCTTCTCCCCAAGCCCCTAACTTCTATTTAATAGTACATCCCCTACTAAACCTGGTCTCCTTTCATCCCCCTCAAGCACTTCAGCTCCTACATCACTCCAGCAAATAATTATGTGCCTCCCCATCACACACCACAATTTTACACCAGCCTGAACCTCACACCTGCTTCTTACCCCTCAACGTACTTCTCCTTCTCCAGCAGCTTTAGAGTTTCTTCAGTTCCTTTCTTTTTAAGACCAGAAGTGGGGTTGAAATAGAGACCTACCCCCCCCCCCCCTTTTTTTTTTTTTTTTTTTGCAGGCTTGTGTTAGGGTTGTATGTAGCTTCTCACCTCCTAATTGCCCTTCCCAGGCCAGGTGATGCACAGGTGGAAGAAATTAAGAGCTGGTTAGCTTAATCTTCACAGTCACCTTGAGTGGACAAGGAAACATTCAGACCTGGAAGCTAAGCCCGTCCTATTCCCCTTCAAGGGGTATAGTATTAATCTGCTCATACTCTTTTCTTAGGGGGAGGATGTAAGGTCTCTCTGCTTTCTGCAGCAGCTAATGGCAGCGATCTTTTTTTAGAAAAGGTTAAAAGCTGCATGTGCCTGAAATTTCTCCTTTCACAAAATCTTGTGCCACCAGGGCCCAAATTATCCCTGTAGCCATGGCTTAATAGAGAGCTGCACTGCTTGGAGCCTGAGGAACAGAGTAAGTAACATTTTGGGGAATGACCTACTATGGGCGTGGGAGCAGAGGGTGGTAAATGCAAGCCCGGAGGTGTTTGCATAGCTGAGCTCCTGCACGTTCCCTGGTCTTTGCAGCATGTTCATTAAAGTCCTGTCTTGTAGCTTTGCCTGGGTGCTGGCTGGATTATTGCTAATGAATCAAGCTGGCTCTTCTGCTATTCAGACAGCTCTATTTCATACCCTTAATTCTGGACTTGCCTGAAATTATCCCACATGCTTGAAGCTCTAGGAATAGATTCATTTTATGAATCAGAAACGCCACAAAAGAAGGTGGGGGTGGTATAAATGTATTAAAATCAAACATAAAACTTAGTTAATAAAATGTTATTTACGTAGGTACTTAACTGGCCTTCTTTGCCAGCGCTTCTGAGCATCTCGCCATCATTAATGAATTTAGTTTCTAAAAGATTCATGGAGTTTAAGGGCAGAAGAGGCCATTATATTAACTGCTACGACCTCTGGAATACCACAGGCCATTAAAATTCACCCAGTTACCACTGCAGTGAGCCCAATAACTTGTGTTTGACTTAAAGCATCGCTTATGTTGAACTAAAAATATCTAGCGGAAAGGCATCCGGTCTTGATGTGAAGACATCAACACAAGGAGAATCTACCATTTCCCTTGGCAATTTGTTCCAGTGGTTAATTGCCCTTGCTGAAGAAATTTGTGTCTAAGCTCTCATTTGAATGTGTCTGGCTTCAGCTTCCAGCCATCGGTTCTCGTTATGCGTTCCTCTGGTAGACTAAAAAGCCATTTATTGCTGGGTATTTTCTCCCTGTGAAGGTGCTTATGCACTGTAATCAGGTCGCTTCTCAGTCTCTTTTTCTGAAGAGCTCATTTTCTCACTGTCGAGCACTTTCTCCAGCCCTCAAATCATTTTTGTGGCTCTCTTCTGTGCCCCTTTCAGTCTTGCAACAACCTGCTCAAATGGGGACACCAGAACTGGAGGCAATGTTCCTTGATCCATCTCATCTACACAGAAGGACGATGCTCGCCTTATTCCTACGCGCTCTGTCCCTGCTTGCGTGCCCATGGGTTGGGTACCACAATGTTCTTGTTTGCTCGCTCTGCCCCTCGCGATACAGTCACTGTTTCCTGGGTATGGCCTGCATTCTTTGATATAAAGCATTTGTTGAGCTAAAAATCTATCTAGCAGAAAGGCATCTAGTCTTGGGGGGGCTAGACCCAGTGATCTGCAAAGTCCCTTCAGCCCCTAACAATCTATGAATTGGCTGCATTGCATTGCATTGCATTTAAATGAGCTCTGGTTACCTCCCAACCCAGATTTGCTTTTAATGACTTCCCTATCATTGTTATCAGTCATTTGCAAACAGTGCATTTGTCTTTACTTCAAGATCATTGACAAAATTGTTAAGTAGTGCTGGGCTTCATATTTTCCACCCCTGGAACCGCACTAGAAACCTCCTCAATTCAGTAATTCTTCTTCACTGGCCACTACTCTTTGAGAGTTGCCCAGCTCTTATTCCATTTAACCCTAACTCTCATGTTAGTGTTTAATGATTTTTTTTTTTAATTGGAGAATTGTACAGTACTGAATCGCACACTCTAAAAAATCTAAGTCTAAGGGCAGAATCCTATTTCACTTTATGTATCCCAAATGGAAGCCTTCCAGCTGCATAACTTGCATTTTTGGCACTTGCATACGGTTTGTGAACCTGCTTCCCCTCACCGCCGCTGTACATGCTCACTTGGCTGTGCTCTGGCTAGGCAGGCACGTAGCTCTGTACATCTCATCAGCACCGATTCACACTCGGGGATATTGTGGCTTGGTGAAAACCAGGAGTAGGAAGTCTGTCTTGCCATGGTTCTAGGTATCCCTTGTAATTAAGGAGTTTGAAGCTGTACCTCCACTGAGTCTCCAGCACATGGTATTAACCTGTCTCCTTTCTTCACCTTGCCTTCCTTGCAGCTGTCTCCAGGAGGCAGAGGAGCCACTGCATCTTGCATTTAGTATTAACTGGATGGAGAGCAGTGGGAGACTTCCTGCCCCTTTGGGAGCAAGGGCCAACCAGGAGCTGCTCCCGTTCAGTACATATCTTGATTCACACCTTTTTATAGTTTTTTGTTTGTTTGTTTTTTGGGGGGGTTGTTTTGTTTTTTTTTGGGGTGGGGGGGGGTTCCTCCTGGAAGGGCATGCAGTGGGAGTGGGCAGCTTCAAAAAACAGCTTTGGAAAGGTGATGGGATGATGCTTATTGACCATGGCACTATTGGGAAGTAAAAAAACCACGGTTTCAAATCCCTTATGGCAAAGGTGAGGGCTAGAACCGGGGCATCCCAGTTTCTAGGCAAGTGCCCTAACCTCTCAGCTGTTTATGTTAGTCCGTAAGAGGTACTTCTTCCTCCTGGTTTTCATCGGGCTAGAATTTCAGGACTCACTTATGCTAGAACCCCATACCTGATTGGCCAGAGCACAGCCTGAGCATGCCCAGTAGCTTGCGCGTCCACACTTTACAAGGAACGGGGTCACAGACTGTGTAAGCACCAAAAATGGCAGTTATGCATCTGGAAAACTATCATTTGGGTGTGTAAAGTGAAACAGGATTCTTCCCTAAGCCCCCATGGCATGTTCTAATCGTGTTCTTGGTGTTTCAGATATTGTTCCTTGTAATTGTGGGCAGTTGGAGGGGGTTTCAAGACAGGGATTTTGTAGGTTCCTTTGGCTAATGATTGCTTGAGAACATGGAGGCCTGCACTTGAATAGGCCCTTTGGGCTGTCTACTCCTATGATTCTGTGTCCAGTGTTGCCATTATCAATCAATCAAACTGGTAATTTCATCAAAGAATGCAAATAGATTTGTTTGAGACCTACTTTCCATAAAACCACACTGACTGACATTATTAATGTGCAAGGCGCACACAAGGTGCAGAAGCATCCCCCCTTTCTGGCAGATGGGGCAACTGAGTCATGGAGTTTAAGTGACTTGGACCAACGTCTCTTTACAAGGTGGTGACACAGCCCCAAACTGAACCTTGGTTCTCCTACTGCCCAGCCCAGGGCCTTGGCTTCAAAACCCTTCTTCCTGCCTCCTCTTTCATACTAAGCTCTTTTTATTTTTGTGTCTTAATGCAATCATTTATAAGGCCTGCCTTTAGACATAGACTGGTTTATGTGTAACTTCTGTCCCTAGCCTCTAAGTGATCAGAAACTGGTTTAAACTTGTAACAGAACATTAGTTCAGTGCACGTAAACCAGTTTCAAATTGGCCAAAAGTGGTTTAAAACACTCCTTGTTGAATGTAGTATCAGACTTAAACCTGTTTGACCCAAATCAGTTATGGAACTTCTGTCCCAGACCCCTTCCTGGATTAAGGGTCCTCCAGCATCCCAGCATGCTCTGCAGCCTGAGGCTGAGCTGTGCTGTCTGCTCCAGACAGCAGGGCTGGCCCCGCCCCTCTGCTCTATAGCTGGAGCAGGGGTGGGGCATGGCCAGACACCAGCCGGGCATGGCCCCCTAAGGCTAAGGGGGCAGGGAGGGGGTTTATTCATCCACAATGTGCAGGCGGCACAGCAGCAGTGATGGCTGCAGACACACAAGCCCCTGCAGCAAGCGGCTAAAAGGCTCCATGCCCGCCGGTGCCTATGAGCCAGCCTGTGCAGCTGCAGGCACGATTAATGTGTCGCGTGTGGCCAGTCAGGCTGCCAAGGCGCCCATCCGCAGCTGCAGCAGTGTCACCTCCATGCCACTGCCTGGCCAGCCACTGCCTGTGCGTGCCAGGCCAGGCCGTCGTGGAGTTGCGGTCAGCTGGAAAGGGCCATAGCCCGGCCCATGCTGGCCCTGCAATCTGCCTCCCTCAGCTGGGACTGAGCAGGGCTGGCTGTGGATGCTGCTGAGGGTGGGCGTGGAGGGGCTGGCTCAGGCCGGGGGGGAGGCAGCGCCCTTCCCAGCCAGCTGCAGCTCCACGATGGCCTGGGCATGGGAAGCCAGGAGCAATCTGGCCACATGACTCCCACGCCCCCAGACTCAGCTGCAGCTGGCTGGGAAGAGTGGCCCTGTGGCCCAGCCCCACCATCTCTGCCCCTCACCTGGGGCTGGGGCTGAGGTGTGCTAGCCCATGGGCACTGCTGAGGATGGGCATGGAGGGACCAGGCTGTTCCCAGCCATCTGCAGCACAGATCGGGGATGTGGGAGCTGTGTACCCAGATTGCTCCTAGCTCTCCATGGCCAGCCCAGGCTGTCGGGGAGCCACTGCAGTGGGGAGGGGGCTGTCTATGCCCCAGCTCTTGCTGCTTGGTCCTGGCTGAGGTCTGGCCACACTCCTTTCCTCTTCCTCCCACCCCCATCCAAAAAGTCTGGTAAGGGCTGGGGTCCCCACAGGCCAGGGTGGGGGTTTAAACCCCTTCCTGATCATAGTCGAGCCTGCCACGGCCTGGCCATGCCCCCCCCCGCCCCCGCTCAGCTCCCCTCTGCCACTACTGAAGGGAAGGCTCACTCTACCGTCCCTTTGGCTTCTGGTCTGAGCCACTGCAGGCATGTGCCTGCATTTCCAGAATTAACAGTGAATGTCTATTCACTTGCAAATCAGTTCAATCTATGCAGGTTAAACTAACCTGCAAAGATGGAATCAATTCAGGCTCCGGCTTTTTGAATGCTGTACTTAGCCAGAGAGCCTTTTTTTTTCTTTTACATGTTGTTGTTGTTGTTGTTGTAATAATAATAATAATAATAATAATAGTATATATATACTACAGAGAAAGTGCTAGCTCTCAGGTAATTGGGTCTATTGTAGCTGAGAGTCAAATGAGAATACATACCAATTACTGTCAAGCTTTATTCTATGCCAGTGTTCAAGTTAAACTCACTAGCACAAAAGCAGACAAAGGTGTGTTTAATGCCAGCTATAAAGAGAAAACAGAAACAAAAAAATAAAAACTTCCACGAAGCCTGACCCTGCTGGAGAGGCAATGGAAGCAGATTATTATTGTGCAAAGCACAGGGAAATTAAAAACAAACAGAAGCTGTTTGGTTACAGAAACCTAATTAAATTCCCATCGGTCTTAATATCAAACCCCTCAAGGTAGGAGGTCGTGTTTGCTGTGGAGTTAGGGAAGGTGTTTAGATGACGCGGAGGCTTATGGTTGCTAAAACCAACCAGCAAATGCTAGCAAATGTAGCATCTAGCCCTTGTGTATTAATGCAGATTTACTGCAAGACGCAGTCCCCAGGAAATGCCACACCAGTGCCTCCCCAGTGAAAGCTAAATATGTGGCGCTGAGAACTCTCAGCTTCTGCCCTATGGGTGACCCTACGGAAGGGAAAGTCAAGGGGAGCACACCCTACATTAATATACAAAATTTGATAACGGCAAAAGTGCGGCAGGAGAGGCAGGGTAGACTGTCCTAGACGGGGCAGGCCGATGTTGTGACCTGCCTGAAGACAGCCCCCGTCACACTTCTGAGGCAGCATGATGCAAATTTTATAACAATGAGGTAAAGACAACTCCTTCCGTTTCCCACTGGATGCAAGAACTACTTTAAAGTTAGAGTAGAGAAAAGGAAGAGAGAATCTTCCTTCATAGTGCCTCTACTGAAAACAGGTTTTGCAGGAAATTATTTAATTAGCATATACAGTTTAAGTGCATGGGCAGATGTGGATGGCTTATCTATCTATCTAGACACTTGCACTCACTGTTTAGAGGGGGAAAAAAGCATTTGAAGGATAAAATAATAACAATGTTAATTTTCACTTGCAGCTCTTTCTGCTGTGGCACTCAAAGTACTTCAAAAACATTAATGAATTAACCCTCACAACACCCCTGTGAAAAAGGTAAGTGTTATTATCTCCATCTTGCATTATACACAGGCAGCTCTGCTTTGCTAAGAGGAAATGACTAGGCAAGATTTTTTTTATTATTATCTTTTTTTTAAAGCCTACCTAGCTGTTAAGTGATGGGTTTTCAGAGGAAAGTTCCAATCACTGAACAGGAGACGAAAAAGCAGACCCCATTTCTGGCATGCTTTCCCATTCCTGTGTGGAGCCCCTGTAGCATAAGCAAGACCGCAAAGCTCCTGCGGTATTGTCAGACCCAAGCAACAAAAAACCCCTGTTTTCTTCCTCTGCCACAAAACAAAAAACTCTAGAACTTGTATTTTGTCTGATGCAAACCAAGATTGTGATGTAACGGCTTGACAGCAGGAGCCAGAGCTTTATGCAGAACATACAACTGTTGCAATGAAAAAATCACCCTCCCTGGCTATACTGAATTGGATCTTCCTCCTTGAGAAGCTTATCCTCAGTGGAGTAGGTCTGGCATAACAGCCCTACCCCACCAATCTCATAGCCCATCCCACAGATGGCAAAGATGGGGGTGTGGGACAGACACAGCTATAACACACTGCACCCCATTTATTCTGGGTTACTGAGCAATAAAGAAGGTTCTTTGGGCTCATTTCTCAGCTAGCGGGCTACAAAAGGGAGAGGGCAGCATCCCACCTGGCTGTTTTTGACTTCCAAGCCTGAATGCCCAAGTACCCATTGACAGCCAGGTTCAGCTTTTGGCAGGGTTGAGAACTCGTGCTTCCAGAGCAGTAGCAGGACACCATAACAGCTCTGCTACCACATCCCTCTACCAGATAGTGGTAGTGCTCCACTGATAACCCCAAGCAAATGGAGATATGTAGCATGAAATGTTTCCTTGAATCTCTGTAGCGCTACTGTGCATTTTTTGGCTCTCAGTTCACAGATGCTCAGGCCAGAATTGCTTAGGAGTCTAGCTCCTGTTCCGACACTTAAATGAAGTGGCCAGCCTTTTTTTAAAGTACTCGGCACCCAACCTATCCTATATAGATCACTCTGTTCCCAAGGCAAATGCAGCCAGTGCATCTCAGTTGCTTATTATCTACCTAAGTCAGTGGTTGTCAGTCTTTTTGGACTCGAGGCACCCTTTGGGTATGCTTTTAGCTCACTCTTTTTATTTTTTTATTTTTTTACTACAAAAAATAACCGAGCAATTCTTTCTCTGCAAAGAACTTGGGCCACGACGAGTCAGAATGGTTTAAAATGGATTCCTGTCTGAAATCTCTGTGTTGATCTTGTGACTTGTGCTTGTACACCTAACAGTGCTAACACTGCATGGCAGCCTGCAGCACCCTTGAAAGGATCTCAAGGCACCCTAGGGCACTGTGGCACCCTGGTTGAGAATCACTTAGTTAAGTATTTGCCAGGCAGGTAGTTCCTGAGGCTAACATTAATCAATGAGGCTTATTAAGCATCTGTTTAATTTGATTCCTTTAAGCACATACCATGGAAGTCAATGGGAACTAAAGCTCTGCAATTATTTGTGTTTTGTCAAATGGTGCCCACTTATACATGCATGGAAATTTTGGAGGGTAAGGGTGGTGTACTTTTAGGTATGGGTGGGTGAGAGAGCTGTCTAATTAGCACATCAATTGGAACTTTTTTGTCTACAACTTTAGTTTCTTTCTTCCTTGCAGTCTTCTTTTATTTTCCTCCTGATCTCTACTTCAGATGTCTCCTTTCCTACCAACACCCAATATGTAATGCATCAGTAAAGACTAACAATGAGCGCTTCACTTTCACTTGTCAGCAGGGTACAGTAAACCTTCTAATTCGAGCTTATCCAGTTGGAAATGTAGGTAATTGATGTGAACTCAAAAAATATATAATTTGAGAGGGGGGCTCTCCCCCTCGTCTCCTTTCCACACAGCCTGCACCTCAGTCAATCATGCAGGCTTGGTTAATCTGCAGATCTATTATCACCTTCCATTGCCTGCATTTACTCGAGCAAAACTTCCACCAGGAAGGAGGTTATATGTGAACAAGGTGTAAATATATATGTATTTCAGTTTCTTGGTCGGCGCTGGTACCTGAAAATGAAATTGCGGTGAGGGGGAAACAAAAATATTCAATTATAATTGAGACTCTGCTTGGTTGAACGCTGGCTCTGCCTGCTTTTGGGGGTGATGGAAGGACAAACGCACCTTCTGTTTTCATGCATATTCCTTTCCCTTCATGCACAGCTCCTTCATCTGACAAACAAAGCTGAGCATCCAGTGTGTGCGTGCGTGTGTGCATGCATGCAAGGGCTTTAAGGAAGTTGTTGCTGGCATCTTAGCCATGCTCAGGTCATCTGTGGGAGGAAAGAGGTAAGGATGGAGAAGGGGGCTGGGGGGGAAGCATAGGACTTCAAAGGTTTGAGCAAAAAGGAGGCCTGTTAGCTCAAAGCTGATAGCAATCTCCATATAAGGTACAGTCACTAAAGGAAGACAAAAATCACACTGTGGCACAATTGGGCTTGTATGGTTTCTTGGACATCCCTCTCAGTCATAGCTCATTTTTTTCCTTCTTATTATTCAGGCCTATTATGGCACTAATTGAGATTAGTGCCCTTCGTGCTAGGCACTACACAAACACGCAGGGGGGCGTAATCCCTGCTGCAAACGGTTTGAGATATAAATAGAGTCCTGAGTCCCCCTCCAGAGCTGCGTCTGGGAGATGATGCTGCGCTATGGAAGTGCAAAGCAGATCATTAAAAATAATTGGAGACAACATTGTTATTTATAGTATGGCAGAGCCTTCAGGTGTACTCAGGACCATGCTGCATTAGGTGTTGTGCAATCTTTACCTTGATGCAAGAGGAAAAGATTGAGGTCTGTCCAAGGCCACGGACACCCTAACATAACTAATTATACAATAAGGGCAATGAGAGTAAACCTCTGGAGCACTGAAATGCAACCTGCAGGAACCCAGCTGACCTACCCCTTCAAGGCCCTTCCATTTTTCATGGCGCTTTCCCAGCCTTCCCCAGAGCCCCTCTCAAAGCCAGCTAGACTTCTGCAGTGTGCCTTGAAAGTTGCTGAATTCAGCTTATTTCAGACCAAGGAGAGGGTCGAGTCTTGGACCCCTGATGGAGGCCCCAAGCTGCATGCTCATCTTTACAATAAAAAAGGACTCATCCAAAATGCCCCTGATGACCCTAGTGTGCGACAAAGATAAAGTTGATCCCTTGGACAGGGTGAGTTGGTCCTATTTGGACATGGCAGCTTGCCTAACATCAGGCAGGAAGCCTGTGGCAGAGTTGGAAATGAAACCCAGATCTCTTCTACACCAGACTCCAACACAAGTCACGGGCATATCCTTCTCCTCCCAAAACAGCTAAAATTTACTACCTGAGACCAGCAAATCTTTCCTCTTTCTTTTTACGCCCTGTGCTCATACGCATGCATGTCACCTCCCCTCTGTCCTTGGAGGACAATGGCAGGATAAGCATACAGGCTTTCCACCCTGTCCCTTCCTTAGAGCTCACCCAGCAGCCTGCAAAAGGAGTACTGGCTTGGTGTGGTTTGAGCAAGGGCAAGGCTGCTTTCTTTCTGCTCCCCATTCGATTCAACCGGCAGCAAACAACCCAAGGTGCGTGCACACCGGTGGCAGGGAGAGGGCAGGAGAGATCTCGCAGAAGCCAATCAAAAGCAGTATCAGCCTCAAGCTGACACATGCATCCATTATTCACGCAGGCTTTGATTCTGAGTTCAGTGCCAAAATGTAGCAATGTCTGTGCCTCCTAAGTAGGCCATAATCTCCAAAGCTCAATGATTGAAGGTTTTTGTAATCCTAATATCTATAATGCTTTGTACTTTCTAAACTGTGCAGAAAGCAGCCACTTGGTTATCAGTCTCCCCTATCCAGGCACATTCTCGGTCTCTCTCATCCTTTCCCTGCATTTCTCTCTCAGGCTGTCTCCTGGCCTGATTCACGGCAGCGATAGTGCACTTAAAACACATGCCTAATTTCATGTAAAGCACATGCTTTCCTGCAGTAGGGCATGTGCCCCTTTCCATGAACCTAGCTCCCTCATGCTTGGCTCCTTGGAGAGCAATCAAACGAGCAATAGATCACGCCCACTTTGCACAGGTGTGCAGCCACGGGCACAGGGACGAATTGATTCTCCACTCTCCTACATTCATTTTGCATGGCTTATGCTTGCCATTAACCCAGTTGGAGAGCTTCTTCTGCGTGGGAGAAATCTCTGCTGGCGGAAAGTTGGAAAGCAACTTAACCATCTCATGTGCCAGCTGCAACCCCTGGCACAAGGGAGGCAGTGGGGTGGAAAGCAGCATGCTGGGAACAGAGAGGGATTGCTGGATCTGTGCTCCATGTACCTTCTCCTCTCCTCCTCCTCCTAGCTCCAACACCAGAACTGCCACTTGGAGGTAGCTCATTGCTGGTCTAAGTCCCAACAGCACTGGGAAGCCAATGATTGGGGAGCTGTATTTGGGCCTCTGCCACAGCTGTGTGCACAAGGGGCCACTAGGTGCAGGGCAGTGGAGAATCAAGCAGAAGATCTTTCTGAATCTTTGGCCTTATGCATGCTGAGTTTTTGCCTTGAGCCCCCCTGCCAGCACTGCTACACTGGCCTGATCCCACAGTGAGCACAAGAACTGCCATTTACTGGGTCAGATCACATGTCATACTCTTGCCCAGTATTGTGTGTCACACAGGGGCAGAGAGTATTGGAAGGGAGAGTGGACGTGGCATGGAGACAGACAACCGTTCTCTTTGCACCTCTGCAGCTTTCTCCTGCATAACAGTGGACCGCGGCAATGACTGCATGCACCATCTACACCAGGGCTGAGAGTCTGGGCTGCAGCTCTTGAGGGTGAATCACAGGGCTCACAGTCATGAATAGCTTTATGCCACCTACACATAACGTACTACCCCGAGCGAGAAGAACTGAGAATTGTCTGGTGCTGAGCTTGCACACAGGAATAGGTGCTCTTGGTTATGGGTGCTGGTACCCAGGAAAGGTAGCCTTGTGACTAACATGTATGACATGGGAATCGCATGTTTTGGTAGGTAACCACCGCTGTGTTCTCACTAGGACCAGACAGTAACGCTTCAAATCAGATGAGTAGCAAAACAGTTGAGCTGAGCACTTGGTAGTGATTTTTAGGTGGGGGCAGCTCATTGTAGTTTGCCTGACTTAAAAGCGGGGATGCTCAGGCATGTTCTGAAACTCTAGTCCTCTCGAGGCATCCAAAGTACTCCAGACCAGCGGTGCTCAACCTGTGGCCCATGGGCTGAATCTGGCTCACAGAGCCGTGTCATCCAGCCCAGAGGGCTCTCCTCACAGGTCTGGAGCTGCGGCAGTTAACATTGCTACCATTCTGGATCCATGGGGTGTCCCCAGGATGGATGACACAGTCCCAAATGAAGGGCTGGGCTGGTGGAAAGAGTCGCACCCTGGCCAGATCCATCACATAGGGCTGGACTGGTGTGTAAGGTGTCCAGTGTCATGGTGGATCTGGCACATGAGGCTTTGCTGCAGCTGGATCCAGCGCATGGGTCTGGTTTGGTGCATGGGGTCACACCTGCAGACCAACCCCATGCACTGACCCCACGCTGGGTCAGGCCCATGGACTACCCCTGCCATGGGATCTGGCTGACAGACCACACATCTGGCTCATGGGGCTTCATGGTTGAGCACTGCTGCTCTAGACTCTGCCTGTGATGCTGTCCTTTCTTGTAAAACCCTATGCTTTAGTAGGAAGTGGCTCATGAAAGAGCATGCATGTTGAAAGCTCTCTTTTTTTCTTTTTTTTTTGTAAGAGAATGAAATACAAAATAGGAAAAAAGGTAGGGAGTGGGGAGGAGCAGACAGCAGCTGCAAGATGTCAGCTCTGCTGTATATCACCGAAACCCAAAGCCCTAATGGAAGCTGACAAGAAAAGATGTAATGAGTTTGACAACCAGTGTTTGAAAACGATAAATTATGTCGATTGGCCTTACAGTTCTAGGAACATGGATGGGTGAAAGGAGGAGTAGGGACAGGAAAAAAGATGTTAAGAAGTGCAGCGTGTCATGTTTACAGTGTCAGTGACTACAGTCATTACTGACATGAAGACAAAGAGCTATTCTGAATATGGGGAGAGGACAGGTGGCCCAGCAGAGCTCAGAACTGCCTACAGGCAGTTCAGTTTGGTCAAGTTTTATCTTGATGTGTTACCTTCTATGATTATCAGCACATATACCTAAAATGCTGATGGATCCTCCTGACTGTGGTAGAAGCTGCAGTCAGGTGTGAGAAGGGTAGGCAAAAAGTAGAAAATACAAAATAAACCATGACTATGCTCAGTCGCATTTGAATCCAGACCGTTTGGTATTAAACACCTACTTGTTAAAAGCAAAGCAGAAAGTTTTCAGTGAATATGCAGTAGGAATGTACCTTAGTCATCTTAGAGACAGATATATGATGTGGGGCCAGTCCACGGGCTGGTTCGTTCATGGGGTCATTGTGTGGGCTTGGGCCCCTTAGGCCCTGTGCCATGACAATCAGTCCTGCACACCCCATCTACATGCAGAGCTATGCTATCCAGCCTGCCATGTTCCCCACAGGTCTGAAAATTTAGCAGCAGGGGAGCAAAAATTTACATGGCTACCAAATTTTTGGATTGGGGGAGCCCAGCAGTCCAGATGACAACTCCACAGACTGGATGTGGCTTACAGGCCAGAGGTCAAGCACCCCTATCCTATAAAA